TTAAGGATACTTTTTCTCAGCTCTAAGCAACCAGGTTTTACATTTCTGGTTTTAAAAGAGATTATATTCAGGGATGCTCAGTTACTTTGAATAGGTGTGACATTCCAGGCTGACGGGTATTCATACCTGTCGACAGCTGTGAATTAGCATTTCAAGCCCCTTCTAAACGTGACTTATGAACTTGTTCTGTTTGAGGCTTCAGCACCTTGCAGAAAAGCAAACGCAGATTTCATACCGGGGTGAAACCCTTTTCTGCTAGGGAGCAGGAATTCGAGAGAGCAGCCATGAAAAGACAATGCTACACCAGAGGTGCAAAATCAAAATCACCACTCCAGAAATTAGCACTAGAAACTACTTTTGATCCTAAATTGGGTACTTACAAGGGTGGCAAATGTGGAGGGAGAGAGAGGCTTTAGAGTGAAAGGGACATTAGTTACTCACCAATAGTCGTTGCCTTTAGTATGGTTTTGTTTGTTTTCGTTCATTCCCACAAGGTTACAGCCAGAAAGAGGGGGAGGGGAAATGAATGCCAGTGTATTTAAATAAATGCCAAGCTCAACTCAGAACCTCCCTTTGAAAATGTAACTGAGACAGAAAATGGAATTTAGGAGTCCAAGCGGCTCAAGAAGCGGCAAAGAGCTGAGAATTTTACCATCAGGAAAACTAGGAAATGCCTAAGAGAACTGAAAACAGATTTCTAATGCACACGCTTTCTACAAACACACCTTAAAGTTCCACAGGAACACATCCACTTGGGCTAGAGAGATGGCTCATCAGTTAAGAGCACTGGCTGTTCCTCCGGAAGACCTAGGTTTGATTCCCAGCACCCATGTGGTGGTTCGCATATGTGACTCTGTGGGAACCAGGCACACACAGTGTACAGACATATATGTAGACAAAATACTCATAAAAAAATGAAAGACTTTGGTTAGCAGTTTATAGTGCTAATTTCTGGAATGGTGATTTTGAAACCTGGGTTTAGGCCTGGTTTGCTTGTTTTGTTTTGAGCCAAAGTTGGCCTTGAACTCCTGACCCTCTGGACTCCACCTCTCAAGTACTAGCGTGTAGGGCTACTCCAGTTTTGGGACTGGTTTGAATCTTCAGCATCTTAGACAGTATACAGCACATAACATAAGGCTGATAAACCCTTCTTGAGTGAGTGAATGAATGAATGAATGAATGAATGAAAAATGAAAGACCTGAATGGTCTGCGTGCAGGACTCAGGCAAGAGGCACCGTCAACAGTACGTGAGTGGATAGACACTATAGCTGCCTGTCACGTGCAGAATCGGGGAGCCAGGGAAGAATGTAACATGTGCGGTGATTCAGCTTGAATGAGAAGCCCAGCTTTCTATACCCCAAAGCAGTTGAATCAATATTTATGGCCAAGGGGAATCTAGGTTTGCCAATTGTTTAGCTCTCTGGGTCGCTGTGGCGTGTGGCCCAAGGAGGGAGCTGCTGCTTTCTGTCTTCATGTGACACCGAATGGAATTTAATCTCGGCCCTACTGCACAGCTACAGCAGTAACTGTGAGTGAAATTCCTCTTTCTCCCAGGTGTTGGGTTGTGTTGTGTCTACTATAGCACTTGTGAGATAGAGGCAGGAGAATCCAGGAGTTCAAGGCTAGCTTAGCTACCGACTGAATTCCAGACCAGCCTCGGCTACATGAGACCACGTCACCTAGAAATAAAATAAAACAAATACCCTTTTCAACTCACGCACTATCAATGTACTAATCAAAATGGTTTCAAAGACAAACAAGAAAATACACAGAGTAGGGCAGGTGTCCGCATTCATCTGGGATCACCCTTGGTCAACTGGCTCATGCTAGAAAGGCCATCTGGTCTACGGTCAATAATGTGCACTTGGCTCTTCTGATACATATGAAACTAGACTGGAACCAAACTGTCCCATAGAGTTGGTAGCAGGGCATGGAGAGATGCTAGAAATCCTCCCAAAGCTGCCTGCTCCTGTTGCCACTGTTAGCATTCCCTACTGCTACTGGACCCCCGGGAACCAAGAAACTCTGATTTATTCTCTCGTGCGTCCCTGTGGCTTAGACTGTGAAAGTGGGACCCTCTGCCCTCTGGCTGGAGCATCCTGGGATCCTCCCCTGTAGCACAGAGCCACTGAAATGTGATGGGTGGATGACAGATGCCTGTGTCACAGAAACCCAGATGTATTAAATAATCGCCCGTTTGGAATCTGCACCTGTGTGGGAGCGCACGCACACCTGCCTGGCCAGTTCCTCCTGTTCGCAGCCCATCAAAGGGGCAGCGCTTCATTCCTGCCTGTGACCTTCTCTCCTTCTTCACAAGGAAAGGCCTGTGATGGTCCCCAGCACACAGCCTCTCTCAACATTTAATAGCCGTGCCAAACACACGTGCTCTTTAATGTCAGTCTGGTAAAATTCTATTTAATTTTATCTCGCTGAACATTTTTTAGTCAAAGGAAAAAAGCATATTAACGACATCTGGCCACATTAATTAATGGGGGGGGATATTTCCAAGTTCATCTGTGAGAGGAACATGAACCTGGTCCACACATCCTCCTCCTCCTCACTCCCAGTTCACGGGATGGGTGCGCCATCCCTGAGTTTTCAGATGCCTGAGTTTACAGACCCCAAAGGCATCTTGATTGTAGCTTTCTACTCTATCTGGCCTTTGTATACCAACTGCATTACTGCTCCATACATATGATCCCCATGAAACGACCTTTAAGATGAAATGTGAAAGGGCTGCCTTCTGGTGGTGTGATGTGACAATCTAAACAGGAAGAACTTAAGGTTTCCGTCTCTTCCAAAAACAAAAACAAAACAAACACCAGAGGAGCCTGGAGTGCTGGGTCCACACTGAGACCTGAGAATAGCCACAAGGCAGGAGGCAGGCTGCTGGGCTGGGTGCTTTCCTTCGCCTTTGCACAGCTGTCCCAGTGATGCAGGGCTGCGGGTGTGGCTCCGGGGCCACAGTTCCCTACATTCATGTGTCTTTCATGAGCTCATGTGTTAGCTGCTCCAATGTAATGCCAGCACTAGGGAGGCCAGTTTAGGTGTCAGAGTGAGTTAGGCCAGCTTGGGCTACAGGATGAAAGCCTATCTTAGAAAGACGGAGCAGATGGGGTGTTATCTATAGGAATCCTTCAGTGGGGTCCAAAGATGGTCTTTGGCAAGTGTGAACAAATGCTGAACAGCAGAAGTGAGCACGTGAGGTTTGGATGAGCAGAAGGTTCCCATCGGAGTTCAGGAACAAAGGGACAGACAAAAGGGTAGAGGCTCCGATCCAGACCCGAAGGCCGAGGAGGTGTGTTCTGGAGGCAGCATGGAGCTATGGAGAGTTGGCAGCCAATCTCTTGTCAAAATAAGACCTGTTTCAGGTGATCATGTGGGGACTGTACCTAAGGCCCAAACAGAAAGCTGAGCCTGAGGATCCACCCAGGAAAGCACAGCGATCCAACCCACAAGAGGATGACAGGGGACGCAAAGGGGTGGGCCCTGAAGGGAGGGGGAGAGGAGAGGGAAGGGGCTCAATGGAAAGAAACGGCAACTGGAGAAAGGCAGGCCAGCCCACACACTGCAGCAGGCTGGCGTCTTGCTTTGTTTGCAGGCACATGTGGCGGGTGTTTATGATGGCTGGGCGATGGACAGCAGATGACGAATTCCGCTTATATTTGCCAGGGAATGACAGAGTGATGTACAGACAGATGGGCAGATAAAAGGAGCACTGAGTGGCAAGGGCAGCTGGGGAGAGAGGAAATTGGTAAGGAAGAAGTGCAGATGCCTAAGGATGTTATGGACCATGAAACCCAGAAAGCCTGTGCTCTGTTTAGGATAAGGTGGAGGGGCTGGGGTTTGGTTCATTGTCTAACTGTGAAAGGCTTAGCTCCAGAGGGGGGCCATATTGGAAGGAAGATGGGAAGGGACAGTAGAGAGGCCACCCTGCAATACACAGCCTTAGGAACCCAATACACTGTCGCCCTGAGCACCCCAACAGCCCCAAGTTTTTACTGAGCTCTGGAATGGTGGATGGGACCCAGTTTACCTAGGAGCCATAAAATCAGATGATAAGGCTCATAGTCATTCTTTCTGCTGCTAAGTACCAAACAGCCATTGTAGAGTCATGAATCCAAAACACTCAGCACATTCAACCCTGCCTCCTTCTCTCTCATATATACATATATGAGAAGGAGAAGTACAGATCCCAGGTGGGAACAGAGATGCTTCACCCTGCCAAAGGCTGCTGGCAGGATTCTTAGTCTGCTCCTGCCGTTCCGCCGGCTCCTTCCTCCTGCCCGGCCCTCCTCTCCTGAGAACAAGCCTCCCTTCTGCTGCTGCTTTCACCAGTGCAGCCTGACTTGGATTCTTTTATGAAATGCATCAGCTAAGTTTAGTATTACAATCAGGTGTGGGGGCTCATGCTCACAGGCCCTGTACACAGGAGGCCAAGGCAGGGGAATGTCAAACTAGCCTGGGCTAAACAATGAACCTCCCTGTGGGAATAAAGAAGGAAGAGGAAGGAGGAAGGAGGAAGGAGGAAGGAGGAAGGAAGGAAGGAAGGAAGGAAGGAAGGAAGGAAGGAAGGAAGGAAGGAAGGAAGG